GGGATTTATTCTAATAGCCTCTGCCAGAAATTCCTTCCCTTTGTTTTCCAGAGCCTCTAGCCAATTATTTAACTTATTCTAATGCAAACTTACAAGTCTTGCACATATCACTGTAAAACTTCAGTAAGAAGTGATGGTCTATGCATCATAATTTAGACATCATTCCCTGGAACAGGTTCTCTGACAAAGCACTGAGTAAATGATCTGTAATAAAAACACTATTCTTTTTTTTTCTTTTGTTTCCATGCCACCTTGCCTTGTCACATACATTTTAAAGATCTTTACTGAAGGGGATGCAGGTGATACACTATCTAGACTTTATTATTATATGTTTTTATTTGTAATTTGCTTCTATGAAGGTTTTGTCTGTGAATATGTTTTATTCCTACCTTAACAGTCTAGGAAGCACTGAAAGATTACATAAATGCTTTACTCATTCACCCAATCATATTTCTCCCAAAATATTCTTTTCTCACTTCTCATTTCCCCATTTTTATTTCACTATGAGCCCTTTGAGACTTCCATGCAGAAGCTAAAGGTGTCCCAGACTTGTAGCTTGTTCCCAGACTCAGTATGGAACTTCTGACTGTGCCAGTGGGAAGAGACACCCATGCTTCACTTCCAAGATCCAGACACTGCAGAGGTAAATCAGGCAGAAAGTAAGGGCCATTCAATGCAAGAAAATGCCTTTTGGAGCCTTTGCCCGTGATCCCAAGTCACCCCTTGATTGCAGAAACATCCACTTCTCAAGCCTTGACAAACCATCTCACTGCTAAGTATTCAAAATGTTACTGTGAATCTGTCACTCTGAACAACTTTTCACTCTCTTTGTGTACGCTATATTACTAAGTCTCTTTCATTTCATTTCATTTATTTCATTTTCCATCCCATTCTATCAGCTCTAATTCACTCTTTAGAAATAGCCTCCAGACTTTAGCTGGCAAACAAAGGTGATCTTCATTATTTGCATGTTGTTAATTCAAAAAAGTGCTTTAAAATGTGCTCCATGCCATCTCTTGCATTTGAAAAGAACTTCCCACTGTGAGCTACAGAATACGCTTTTTCTTGTCAAGTCTCCTCTCATTCAAAGATTTTGATTCTTTGTATGTCCACCAAGTTGGAGCACTATCTCCTTTACGTATTTTTTTTTTTTTTCAGTGCTCTGCTTGATAAATGTTGAATGATAAAGGTTTAATCTGATGTTTACCAGGAGTCCTGCTTTGATCTTATGGTTTAAAATGTCATAAGAATTTCCAAACAAAACAAAACAACAAAACACAACAGGGAATAATTAGCACTATGAAAACTGGAAGCAGAATTTTAAGCTATACACTACATGTGAAATACACACACCTGTACCCTTCAAAATATTTCTTAGGCATCTCATTTTTGAGAACAACACTCCTCATACATCTTCACTTCATAATGATTTCTTCTTCTGTCTCCAGTTAAATGCAAACTTCTGTACTGTCAGAATACAGCTGTCTTTAGCTGTTTTTTCCTTTTTACAATATTTTAAGAAATGCAGGGAAGCAGAAGTAAAGCCTCATCAGTATTTGTCCATCTCTCCGTAATAGCAGCTAGTCACAGGGTATACCTAACTGGTTTACTTTCAGATGTTAGAATTCAAAATTTTTCCCCATTTGATATCTATTGATGTCCTGAATTTCAGGAAGGACTGCTTCATATAACTAACTTCACAGTAGGGGAAACAAGGCTTAAACTTCCAGAAGGAACTGCCAACTACTGCAGCACAAGAAAAAAGAACTCTCACACATCTGCATACACCTCAAATCCTTCTAGCCCATCAACTGGTCAGCAAAAGCACACAAGAAATCCAAATACTTGGGAGGCACTGGCAGGAGAGCTCCTCAGTTAGTGCTGCCCTTTCCTCTGCTTGTCTGCTGAGGGCATGGGCTTAGGACAAGACATCAACATCTGCAGATCCAAGTTAGAAGCTGACAGAAAGGCCATAGTTCTGAGAGATTTAAAAATCAGTTTGGTTTGATGATGTGAACTGTGGTTCTTTCAGGAACCAAGACTGATCCACCAAACTTGGTCATATCTAGGGCTTTACTTACACTAATCAGGTTTTAGTCCTTTCATGGTAATGAAACAATATTTTTTCCAGTTATGATGTTATTTCCTTTTCTCTTTACCTATTATCTTGTAGAAAAGATTTTTTTCTTCAGCCATACCATTTAGAGGTCTGGATTTTTTTTCAAATGACAATGCACTTCAAAACCCTGATAGGTTTGTGGCAAACTAACATGCTAAAAACGTGAACTGTTTAACATAGTGGGACATGATCTCACATTCTGAGTTTAACAAAATATCCTGAAACCAGATACTTATGCAAATGATAAGCTTCTCTTCTCTCCATTACATCTCAAGCAATTCACCAAGAACTTTTTTAAGTTCCTGTCAGAGAAGAAAAAAACATAGACAATGTGAAGCAACTTCTTTTTAATGTGTGAAAAAAAAAAAAAAAAAAGTGAATAATAACATTTTGCAATGGGAATTCTGACAGGGCATTGATAGAATATTTGCCTTAACAAGTATTCAATGAAGAAAAGCAATTGAGATCACTTAAATGTGAATAACTAACCCAAAATGACAAAGAAGCTTAGATGAGAAACCCAGTTATTTAACTTAATTGCAATACAGTAGCGTAGCCCAGTGTTCAGTGTAAATTAATGACCTGCTCTATGCTAACTTCACAGATGCTGTGAGGCCAGCTGATTCCTCAGTTAGGGCTGAAGCTTAGCTATGCAAACCCCTCAGTCCTCTCCACTGTCCTGACTCTTTGCTATGGATGCACACATAGAGTAAGAAGGTTTCTTTTGACCTGGGACTTAATGTTACCCCCAAGAGCAAAGAGAAGAGTACTACAATATAAGCATGTGCATTAAAAGAAAGATTTATCTTACACTGATCTTGGACATAGTAAGCGCAAAGCACATGCTGTTGTACTCAGCCTGAGCACGTCCTTCTTCAAAGACTTTCTCAATCTCAACATCAAAGGAAGGGTTCTTCTTTGACCCACTTCCTTGCCCTGATCTTAGGCCAGATGTCAGGTTCCAGTTAAAGTAAAATGGTTGCAGAAAAGGAGTCTGAAAGATGAAGTCAGAGTGTCAAGATATCAGACTGTACAGACAAGAAGAATCGGTAACTAGGTTAGCCAGGTCTTTTGGCTGTAGACCAAAAAACCTATGTGGTGTATAGGGAAGGTGGACTGAGCAGAAGTCCACAGAGTCTTCTTCAGCTGAACGCTAGTTAGAAGAGGAGCACTACAGAGAGAAAAGGCCTCCCTGACCATTCTTGTGGATCTCATTTTAGGGGGGAACTCATTTGGTTACTAAGACCTATGCCATGCCATAACTTAGCTAAGTAGGAAAGGAACAGTGAAGAAGTCTTATTTGGAACAAGAACCCTATTTTGCTACATCATCAATCTTGTATCTGGTCAATATTAACTCGAGATCCAAAGCCTGATTAGCAAGAAGAGAGGACTCTGTAGGAAAGTGCTCTCTATCCATTGGAAGGGGAATAGTCTAGACTCACGCCAGGCTGCCCTGGCTATGAAGAGACAGAAAACTTCAAGAAACTCCGCAGGGTGACATACTGTGTCTTACTTAGAAGAGTCATCATGACAGGATTTTAAGGAGAAAGAAGAGTAAAGAGTAAGCTGTGGTAGATTTGAAAAGACACCCTGAGAATTAAACAGCCTGGAAACAAAATGGGTAAGAGTGGAAACGATGTTTGCCAGAGACCAGACCTGGAGGGCTTCCTCTCTCTCTAGCTATATAGAATTCTGGAATATCCTGAGTTGGAAGGGACCCATAATGATCATCGAGTCCAACTCCTGGCTACACATAGAAGCACCCAAAAAATCTGGCCGTATGTCTGGGAGCATTGTCCAAACACTTCTTGAACTCTGGCAGGCTCTGTGCTGTGACCACTACCCCAGGTAGTTTGGTGCTCAGCCAGACTGTGGTTATGTGGGACAGTGCAGCACAGAGTTTTAAAAGGAAATCCTTTCCAAATGTTTAGTGGTTAATTGCACAATCAATTATCCGGAGATTATATTATGAATGATGAGGCTCAAGTGCAACATTTATTTAACTGCATACAAAGCCCACACCAAAGAGATACATAGGATAGGCAATATGTTTACTATTCTGGATTTGAAAATGTCAGGCACAACCTGATAACTTCATGCCACACATCTCTCTGATATGTAATATTACAATAGAATTTAATTTAATTAATTAATTAATTAATTTTTAATAATTAATAGAAATTAATAAATTTAATATTAAATTTATTAATAAAATGGATTTAAGCGTGTATTAGCAGTAATAAAATACAGGCCTGACTCATTATTTCGGTGTAATTTTTCCATTTTCCCAGAGTCATATTTTTATTTATTTTCAGTTCTGTTTTGAAGGCTGGCTTTTAAATGCTAGATGAAATCAAAGTGGCTATGAATTTGTCATTAACAAATTGTTGCATCACCTCAATATGGAAGCAGTCAATTTATTTATATAATTATGTATTTATGTAATTTTGGGGATGAAATATTTGTCCTGTATCTGTGGACCAAGCAGGCTACTGTTCAAGAACTAATGCTATCTTTTTCCTAGGTCACAATCCAGAAGTAGGTCTTCGTTAATGTGCAGATGATGAAGCATCTTCTAGAAGAGCTTCTCAAAGTAGAGGGGAAAAAAAAAGAATGAGTAACTTATTTTTAAGAAATTCTTTAGGCAATGATTCATGGATGTGACAGACCATCACATAAAAAAGTACAAGGATTTTCACACTTTTTTTTCACTTTTAAAAGGCCCATGGGTGAAAACTGTGTCACTGAGATTTGGTATGAGGCAGGTTCTCTAAGTGGAGATAACAATAATCAAGGCTTCTATAGTGTTTTTCATCTGTTGATCTCTGTACTTGGAGAGTAAAGTCTTTACATAGAGAAAGTGTTTTACAGATGTGGAAGTCATTAGCTATAATCCTAGATAGATCATTTTTTTTCTTAGAAGTACAGAAGAAGTTGGGTTATGATTCAAGTCACATTGTTAATAGTAAAAGATGAAGCTATTGCAGTTGTAATCAGAATTTTGAAGGGGGCAGCAGTTTTTAATCATCAAAAGCACTAACTTTAAAGGAAACAAAGATATTAGAGGTGGAAGGAAGTCCTCCATAAACAGGCTAGCTTGCACTGATTCACTGTGTCACATTAGGCAAAAATAGATCTTTGTATGTTGTCCTAATAGAAAATAACTGATGACTGCTAGAATTTTGAACGCTATGGTTGTGTAAGCAAGCTGCACTAATGGGCCTGAATTACTCTATTGGATGATTACCTCTCCTCCCCCAGTTCTCAAAGCAGAATGGATGGCAGTTTCAGATTGAATATATATTTTCCATCTGCTGAATAGTTGTTTTTGTTCATGCTGTTTGAGGTTAACTATGCACGTACTAATCAAACCCACTACTTCCTTTCTCGTAAAACCAAAATAAAGCTTCATATTACTTTCAGGTACAGTATCTGGGATTACAGATATATAAATACACACTGACGCTGTGTGGGTTCAAACATTTCGAAGATTCAGTATCCTGAAAGGCTTTACTTTTATTCCAGTCCTGAGAGTTCCAGTTTGTCTGGAGGCATCAGATATTTTCAGCTCCTTCAGCATCTGTCCCAGCGCAGGAATGCTTTCAGCATGGGTCACCGTGAGCTTTCTCTGCGCAGCCACTGCCACTGCCGAAGGTGGGTAGATGAACGTAGCTGGGGATGTCTACAATTTCTCATTTTCACATCTTTGCAGGATAAGGATTAGATACAAGAGGAGATGACATGGGATCTCTCCATAGGGCAGACTGGGAAAGAGGTCTAGGGCTCTGAGAGGTGTCTAGAAAACCAGACACAGACTTGAGAGCAAAGACATCTGCAGAGAAGCTGGGCAGGACTCAGAGCAGCTCATGAAGGAAGAAATATTTTGACAAACCAGGCCTAGTGGGTGAAGTTGGCAGCTGACAAGGTGGAGATAAATGTTTGGATGAATGGATGGAGAGATTTTACTCATCTCTTTCCCATATTCTTGCACTGCAGAACTGAAGAAGGTAAACTCAGCCCAGATATGGACTGTTTTAATATGGAATTGAATAAATAATACTGAGCACTCACAGCTTGTTGAAGCAAAAATGCATTCCCATCGTGTTGAAGGACAGAGTACAGCAGTTGTACAAAACAGACTGTAGAGTCATACACGGTATACCAATTTCCCCTTAAGATTTGTGAAGATTTTTTGCAGTATGTTCATCAGGCTTTGCTGTGTGTTGCTATACCGTAGCTTAGAACATACATCTTGCTATCCAGTGACTTGGGAGTAGCTGGAGTAAAAAGATCAGGAATAAAAAATGCAAACAGAGTTTCTATATAGTATTACTGTCACCCTAAGGATTCTGTTCTGTGTTTCGTACAGGATGTCAATCTGTTAATTTCTAAATGGCAATATGTTTATTTCTACCAGATACAAATTATGGTTTAAATTCCTAACTTTAAATTACAAATTTCATCTTTAACATCTGAAGTCTATATATTTGTTTTCTTTTGTACACCTAAAAGTATGTATTAAGAAGGAAATTGAAGCTTGCAGGTCATTGCTCCAGTAAGTGGTCAAGTTACTTACTATTTGTGAACAAATAATTACTGAGATTTCTAATATCACTTATAATAATGAAAGCATGTCAGTATTTTTCAGTATATTCATGCAGTCTTTGTGTTAATTGTGGTCTTGAAGGATTTTTTTTTGAAAGGATATAGCAGCATTTCTAGGAATTATCCATGGATGACAGGAGGTGATAGGACTCCTTTCTTTTAGTACAGGTTTCAAGTAAAATATTATATGACTGCAGATCATTTCTTGACAGTTAACTTACCATGATGCTCTTTGCTTCCTTGCAGTAATGGAAGTGACTCAGCCAGCAATAGTACTGGCCAACAGGCAAGGAGTTGCCAGCTTGGTGTGTAACTACAAGCACATTGGGAATGCAAAGGAAATTCGAGTGACTTTGCTCAAACAGACAGGTGACAAGTTCACTGAAATCTGCGCTTCGACCTACACGATGGAATTTAAAATGTTCAGTGTGGAAGAAGTTATTCAGTGCCATGTTAGCCCAGGCCGAAACAATGTGACCCTTACCCTCACGGGCCTGCAAGCAAATGATACTGGTCTTTATGTCTGCAAGATGGAGCGGATGTACCCTCCACCATACTTCATGAACAAGGGAAACGGGACACAACTCTACGTCATTGGTAAGCCAAGCAGCTTTCCAGTACTGTGATATTCCCACTTACAAATGTTGCTGTATGTCTCATAGATCTTCAGAGTGCTGTTTGTAGGAAGCGAGGTTGAACACTGATTCAGCCTTTGAGAATCAATCTCTTATTCCATCAGTGTCTCCTGTAGACACCTAACAAAGATGTATTCATAGACATGCCATGTATTTAGCAATTTATGGATGTTTCACACATCCAAATTATGGATGTTTCATACCATATAGTATACACGTTCTGTCCTGGAAGTTAGGAATGTTGGTGCAGAAACAGCAAAGAGTGAAGTGTGTGTTCTTCTGCACACAAAGTCTATTTTCACTGGAGTTTGAGTGGGCAGGATAGTATCCTGGAATAGAAAATGGTAGAGAAAAGCAGTGTGGATGTTAATGTTTGACTCCAGGGTCTTCTTTATGATGCTCATATGTGATAAGAATTGTGTAATATGATATGTTTTAGATCCAGAACCTTGTCCAGACACTGCCATATATCTCTGGGTATTAGGAGCTACTGCCTCAGGATTCTTTCTTTACAGCATCATCATCTCAGCCATTGTCGTGGGCAAAGCGGTAAGTCCCATCAACTAATCCCATCCTGCTAATAACACTCCTTTGTATGCCAAGAACAAGGAAAAAGAAATGAGAACAAGAGAGAATGCTTGGAACAAATGCACTGGGATGCTCTGGCACCATTTTATTAGTGCACTGCAGTACTGATGCAATAATGCAAAAGGAGAACTTGCTGGATTTACTATTTAAACTTGCTTGTGGCTCAGTTGTGTTGCCAGAGTAGCAGAAAACAGTCAACTTATATCAGTTGAACTTAGTTGGCTTAGATTTGGGTGTTTAGAGCAGGCTGGAGTCTTGGGTACTGCTGGTGTGAAAGGCAACAGTCTTCAGGTGTACCCTGATTTCACACGGCTGATTCATACAAAATCCTAGGATTTGATTTTTACTTTTCTCACTATTAATCTCTGTACAAAACAAATGTAAAGAAATTTCTCCCTGTGGCAGGAAGGAATTGTAACTTATAGCATATTTAACTTCACAGCTAGAAACATCCACGTAAGACAAAAGCATAAGAAATGTAAATCTGGTTTGCTTCTTTCAGTGGGGGTCTGGAGCATAGAAATAAAACTCATGTAAAAGCATAAACCAAAATAGTATTCTGTCCCATATTTTTCAATCCACTCTTGTCTCTAGAAGCTAAATGAAAAAGTCAGTGTTAACACTCAGTTTTGAGCCAACACTGGACACTAATAAGAGCACCTTCAAAATGCTAGTTGAATGGCAGGACTCTATCTTTTCTTAAATGGACCCTCTAACTCCTGATTCTCCCTCAAGTAATCTTAATAGATGTTCTGCAAAGAGAGGTGACCACTCATTTATTTCCCTGTCTTCCCATATCTTACAGATCCAGAGAAGACGACGTCTCACTACTGGGGTATATGTGAAAATGCCTTCTGAAAAGCTAGAGAAAAAAGTGATTCCATTTCACATCACTGTTAACTGAAACAAGGAGATGGAGAGCCTGTTTCCTAGTGGAATGGAGAATCTGCTAATTGCCTGAAGTCAAAGTAATAAAATGTATTGTCTTATTACAAAGGTGTACTGAAAAGAGAGAAAATATTTCTAACTTCTGTAGTTTGGAGGAGAATAAATAGTTTATGCATTAATATTTCAAGGTTAACCCTGTCACGTATAAATGGCTGTGTTAGGCCATTGATTTTTTGAGTTGTATTGTACCAATATGTAGTCTATATAAATATACATATATATGTATAGCATTAAGAGATATTGCTGTTGCAGTTGAACATCTTATTGTCACACTGTGCCGTGTCTACTGATCAACTGAAATCCAAACACTATTACTGCAGAGGCTTTTGTATCATTGCAAAGTTAATCCTACAGGTCTGAGGGGAAGAGGCAGAAGGGTACACTAATGTACAAAGCAATGCTGTCTTGTCTCCATGCAGTGCTATTTATTGGTTCAATTTCTTGTATTAGTGCTCTGTGCTTCCACAAAGGCATCACTGTAGGCTGGCACTGATGATACTGCTGCTCTGAAAGCCTGATCTCAGCCTTTCTCTGGCACTGTGTCTCAGCAGTGCAGTACTGGAATTAACACTGATGATATCTGAGGCAGTGCTGACAGCACGGTTGGAGAGAAAGTCTGTCCAGCAGGAGACCTCTGGGGCTGTTGCTGTGAGGATATTCCAGCTCTGCTGGAGCCTTGAGTTTTACAAATGCTAAATTAGCATCTATCCAAGAGCCAGAAATATGTTATGTGTTTAACTGAGTCTATTTTCCATGAAAATACAGACACTGTATAATCTTGTTTATTAGTTATGTACCATTCAATAAAAATCTTGAAGCTTTGCCCAAATCAAGTTCATTTCTTATTCACCATTCTCAGAAGCAACAGGAAGTGGCTACATGTTAGAAAGCAGTGATGACAAGCTGAACCTTTCCCCTCTGACCCTATGTTTTGCCCTTCTGAGGAAGCTGGTGTGCTTATGGCAACACTTAGCTTTCTCAGCTCTCCTCCTCAGATGTCACCATTAAAATCCGCCAAGTCTTCAGTTTGTCTAGTTAGAGCTGATATGCTGTGATTGAGAGATGCTACCAAACACCTATACACTTACAGCAAAGTTACTTGCTTTCAGAAGGTAACAGTTTCAACTTTGGTAGCATCTCCTGTACCTGTTAAAACAAAAACCTACTTCTAGTTTCAAATCCTGTTTTCTTTGCAACTCTTCAATGCTCACTAAATTCTACCTGAAAAAAACAAGGAGCTTAAAAACCATTTGAGCATCCTCACATACTATCTACTATTTTAACTCTTTGCTTTCACCTTACAGCCCCAAAACATGACAGAAACATATGTTTAATAGTTGTGAATACATCTTCTTGGCTCCGTAACTGTAATCAAATCCTCACAGTCCACTGTACCATGTTCTTGCAGTGGCAGAGAACACCAAATCTCATTGCTCCTTCATTTAGCTTTTCCCCTTTTTCCCTTTCACCTTGCATGTGTTCCCACTGTACAAACAAATGTTCACATTCTTAATTTGTCACCAACTCAGATGTCTGAAGGTGCCAACTGCTTTCTCAATGTTCACCTACAATTGCAGAACATTAAGTAAAAGTAGTATCTGGTGACACAACCTTTTTCTAAAGATGTTTTATTATTCTGTCATCAGTCTGGGATTTTCCCCCCAGTTTTACACTGATCTGGTGTTTTGGGGATTAAAAATTGCCAAAGATCACACAGGTGACCACACTACAAAATGAACAAATTTCTGCCTATTCAATTGCAGTCTACTAAGAGAAATGTGTTCTGTGACTGGCAAGAATAGATTTGACTCACATGTCTGTTTGCTGGAGCTGTAAAATTTTCCAGTTTTTTTTTTACTCTGGTAAAGCAAGAATAATTATTTAGGGCAATATATATATATATATTTTTTAGGAAGTAGTAGCTCAGATATCCCCTGAATTGTGTATTATTCCTAGTCAGGAACTATTTCTTCTTTTTTGTCTCCTTTGACAATTCCTATACACTGGAACCAAATACTTCCTTTTCTTAAGCCTAATAAAGCACCTCAAGCAAATGATCTTCCAAATCTGTCGCTCCTGTATAAAGGGATACTTTGGGCTCCTATCAACAATCTCATGACATCTGGCCCCAACCGCCCATGGACCTGTGTCACCAAGAATCTGTGTACATTTCAATTCACATTCATTATTGACAGGTAAGTCTACCATGTCTTCTGCAGCCAATGGGACTACTCCTTCTCAGTGCACCAGCATTTCCCTAAGACATTCAAACTGTAATGACCAGAGGAGAATTCTAACCTAAAAAAACTACAGGCTGCTAAATTAGTCAAATAGTGAAGATTATGGGACACCTGAGCAGAAACAATTATCTCATACATAGCAGTAGAAGCATTTTGTGTTTGCTCCTGCATTTTGTAACTCCTGGTATGATATCTGTTAAATATTGTATTGGAAATGACTTTGTTCAAATTCTCTGGCTGTTTTGAAAATTTCTTTATTCTCAGTAGCTTTCAACCAAGACTTTTTCCAACATTTCTTTATTTTTGCATTGCTGAATTTTCTCTGGCTTTCCTTACTACTGTAGCAGCCTCCTCTGAGCTTTGTGATAGTAAGCATGCATTACCATCTTTGTTCCAAGTCAGGTTCTCATTTTGAATATTCTAGCAGAGTAATAGGTGCACTTCTATAAGCAGATGTAGCATTGAAGACTAAAGTGGAATTTCAGTTCAGATTCTATTGACATATTACTCTCATAATTTATACCTGGTACTACATAGATGAGTGGTGTCTGCAGAGATGTTATTTTTGCCTATCTCCAGATGGTCCATACAGCAGCTAGCTCTGAAGAGTGTAGTGCTCAGACCTCAGTGAATTTCCATTCCCCTGATGCCCTGTGCTGCCCTGTAGGACCTTGAGCCCAGTGCTGTTCCCTAACACTTGGGAGAGTGCCATGAGCAGCACTCAAAAAAAAAAAAAAAAAAAAAAAGACCTATGCAAATCAGATATACAGCAATACCAATATGAAGAGTGTATACTCAATCACTGAACGTCCCAGGAAATGCAGTAACATGGAAATACTAACTCTGGGAAAAATAAGAAAATCAAAGGCTAAAGGATTTGATCTCAGAAGAATTTGCAGCTCATTAGAATACGGATTTTAAAAACATAACCAAATATCTTACCTGGACAGACAAATAATGAGACCACATTTCTTAGTGAGGCTAAGGAAGAGTCTGTTTTGATGTCCTCTTTACCCAGACAGGAGAAAGATCAACCTGTTTGAGAAACAGAAACAGTGAGTTTTTGGCTGCATCTGTGTAGGCCTTCATATGTATACTTGTCTGCATCAAAGAAAATTGCATACATACACACACTGATATTCTACTTTCATTTTCATTTGATTTTTATGAGAAATTTTTTTCCCTGCCATTTTCAATTATAAGAGTCCTAGTTGATGCATTAAACGTGTGAGAATAGCTTCTCACTTGGCTATTCTATGAGTTGGCAATAAATTGTCTATCACTTTAGCATTAGAGATTTTCCTGTGAAATATTCAGATTTTCCACTCTGTGGATGAGTATGTGAATCTGAAGTTATTATTTTATTAGGCCTTGAGATCTATAGGGAAAACTCAATTATCCTGTTTTCCACAGTTCCTTAACAAATAAACATCAAGGATTCTCAGACCCTCTAGCTCAGGCTAGACCTGTTTCTGTCCTTCTTAAATTCTTTGCTGAGGATACACCTGGGCCTAATTCCTGTTTGTTTTTTCAATAACAAACACTTCAATTGGCCAAGTAACTCCTAGCTAGCTTAATGCAATTCATTAAGTATTAATGCATTAACTGCATTAATTATGCAGTCTGAATACTAACTTTAAACTTTGCAGCTCTAAAAAGTATGAGTATTTGGGGGGCTGTGGGGGGCTGTGGCATGATTTGGAGGCAACGTTCACTGAATACTGGTTTCTTTCTTTTACTAGAGAAAAGCTATTAGTGAGGAGAGAGCCCTGGAAAATGAAAAAAAAAACAAAACAGTAATCTTCCCCACGATGGGAATAATTTGAACCATGACTAAAAAGCCCTGCTTCTAAAGGGAGAGACATAAATAGGAATCATAAGATGTAGCCAAGAGTTATGTCATGAAATCCGAACCAAAGAAGGCTGGTGTACAGCAGATGGTTTTATGCATTACTAAAAACAATTTATTCTTGACATTTGTAAACTGCATGCTTGTATGAACTCATAAATGGTATTTTGAGCCAGTTTCTCTCACAGCTACACTGTGGGGCCTCTACATTCCCTGGGAATAGAATGCAATTTTGAGTGCAGGCTTATGAATGGGGAGGAAAAAGAGGGGTAGGAGGAAGAGGTTAAATTCAGAAAAATGTTGAGCTGTAGAGAAAGATGGAAGAATCACAAATTCATAGCACCATACTCTGTTGATTCTGCAGATTCCCGAGCACAGTCCAGTGACTGTTATCATTTTGTTTGAATGTTTAGTGTGATAAAAAACAGTCTTCCTCAAGGGTAGTTTTATATTGCATATCAAAGAATGTTGGTGAGGAACTGTGGCATGTTTGAAGATATTAACTTTTACTGATAGAAGATCTTAGTAAGTCAGGGTGGATGGTTGTTAAAAATTGCCCCTGAAATTAGTTTAATAGTTTGTGTTGTTTGCTAGAGAGACAGTTTACAAGAGTTCAGGTAGATGACAAAACTTCATTTGGAATCAGGAACTATTTTTGTTGATATGATCATATTTCCATGAAGTATAAGTTATTAGCTACTAAAAATGTCACAATTCTTTTCTTTCCTTCTTTCCTTCCTTCTTTCTTTCTTTCTTTCTTTCTTTCTTTCTTTCTTTCTTTCTTTCTTTCTTTCTTTCTTTCTTTTCCTTCTTTCTTTCTTTCTTTTCCTTCTTTCTTTCTTTCTTTTCCTTCTTTCTTTCTTTCTTTTCCTTCTTTTCTTTCTTTTCCTTCTTTCTTTCTTTCTTTCCTTCTTTCTTTCTTTTCTTTGTTTTCCTTCTTTCTTTCTTTCTTTCTTTCTTTCTTTCTTTCTTTCTTTCCTTCTTTCTTTCTTTTCTTTCTTTTCTTTGTTTTCTTTCTTTCTTTCTTTCTTTCTTTCTTTCTTTCTTTCTTTCTTTCTTTCTTTCTTTCTTTCTTATTTAACATTTAAAATTGAGATGTCTCACAATTTCCAAAGTCAGCTGTCTTAATCACAGTTGTGGTTTTACTTTAATTATTAGAGATTGTGAAGTTACAGATGAATAAAAATTTCTCAGTTTCTTCACTGATTTTTTTTTTCTTTTTATTCTCTTCTGACTTTTGTTCTGAAAAAGCACTTCTTTAACATATTCAGTTTGATCTGCTCCATTTTCTGCCCTGGGGTGGGACATCTCTGCACAACAAGAGTTCAGTCCTGTTCAAACATCCACATGATTCAGATGAAGTACAAAATTGTTCAGGTTATTTTGCTCACTGGAGTAGCAACAGGCAAGCTTCTTATAGCACAGATGACAAGACTGAGGCCCTTTTCAAGGTAAGTATTCTACAAACTGAAAAAAAATGTGTGATTGTGGTCAATAATTTTGATTCAAGAACATGAATGAATTTTGTTCCAGTACAATATTTATTGCAATTTGCTTGTAAACATGCTACGTAGTACTTCTTTATTCACCAGTATAATTGATGATAAGAAAACATATCTTACTTATTAATAAGTAAGCAGTTCGGCAATTAATGAAATATTGACAACTGTTCAAAATGAAAATAAACGTATTGAGAGCTGTTCATTTTCATCACAAACTCTTTACAAGTAGAGCAGCCATTAGAGTCATCTTTGGTATCATTGACAGTAACAAGGCAGCTACAATTGAAGAAAGTTATCCTGGCACACTCATCCTGAGTGAAAATCATGGCAGAAACCTGAAGCCACATATCAGGATCCAGGCAGTCATCAACTTCACTGGAAAAAGAATATATTGAGATATTTTACTTTCATCACTGGACTGCTTCTGGGTTAGTTTATGGTGTTCTTTTCTACAGGAAGCAAGACCTTGCTTTTAAGGAAAACTGAATTTCTCCTACAATTACATGATTCCAATAGATGGGAACTTGTAA